AGATTCTCCACAGCATTCTTGTTATCACATTGTAGCAAGACATCAAGTTTCTCATCTTCCATAATTTCCTTTCCTGCCATAGAAATTATAACATATTTAGGATGAAGTTTTGTTTGCATGAATGAGAAGTAAGGTATCATCCACTTACAACATTTTCGTTTAATATGGCTACAACAAATAAATTGGTATAACAACATTTCTACTTTGCTAAGTAACTTGCATTTTTAGCTCAAATGATTAACTGAACCTCTATGTAATGATACCACACAATCACGTTGCTGTAGAGAATGAAATATAAAGAAAAATGCAATGCCCACACATATGCACATACAGAGCTCAATTTCTTTCCCCCCTTTTCCCCTTAAATACATACGAATCTGCACTTTTTCAAGTTCTCTGAAGACTACTGAAGCATGATATAGAGCTAAACCAAGCAATTTTAGCATAAAATCAGGGAGAGGAAGGTTTAGACAATAGATAGAAAGGTTCAAAGGCAAAAATTGTTGTTCCAAATGGTGTCCTAGAACCTTTACCTGATGGCTTATAGGTTAAAAGGAGATATGTTATGGTCACAGTTCATACTGATGAGTTTCATTTGTATAATTTTGGATTGGTATAATTGTCTTTCTTGACATGTTCCAAATCATTTTTATGTTTGTTTTGCTGTAATTTGACAAGTTAGCATGAATTTGTTTTTGGATTTTGTATTGATTCTAGCCATATTAATGTTCTATTTTGCTAATTTACCTATGGTTTGTGACTTTTGAATGCTATTTATAGGAAAATGAAGAAAACATATTAGATTTCATAAGATTTACTGACAATTCAAATTATAAACTAGGTTTTCTTGTTAGATTATCTTTTGAATATGTTTTACAGTAGAACTTTTACTTCCAAGATTTTGCATATTTTTCAGGCACGATACTTAAAAAATGTGTTTGTTCTATATTTTTGAGGTTCTAAAAATTAGCAGAACATCGTATGATTTTACATAAAAGACTAGTATGGGCATAGAGTCACGACTGAGATTTTACCCGATCCCGACTTGAAATGAACAGCAGAGAGTTACAGTTGACAAGCAGAGACTTCAAATGACGAGTAGAGAGTTACACTTAAGGTAGAATCTTCATTTCCATAGCCAAGTAGAGTCCATTTCTTCAAACCACCAGGAAAATCGAAATGGGTATCGCTCCAAACAACCTCTTGTACGGTGGCTTCTTCGCCAGAGATGGTGCCTTCGTACTTACAGTCAATCGAGATGGGTATTGGCGAACAGCTGGGCTCTATTTCGATGGGGATTGGGGCAGCTAGTTTTTATTTTGGGAGGGAAATAAGTTGTCTTCCCAGTTTTTTACAGGAGCCAAATGAATTTTGCGCCCCATGTGACTACATACGTTGAATTCATTTGTTTTTCTGTAGTAATTTAAAAACAGAAAATAATAATGTCATAAATAAATACATGGGTTCATAACATTTCTAGTGTCTGCCTTCCCACCAGCAGAATCTGAATCAAACCTCTTACATAAATAGATCACAAATGTTTGCTCTATCTTTAAAAGATGAATATTATCACCGATGAAGACATCGACCAGAAAACCCACAAAAACTAATAACAGAAACAGAATTTACAAGTGTCCCCTTCTTTTCTTTCCTTCTGTAAATTTTCCTGCTTAGCATCGGACGAGGTTTTACCCCAACAGGGCATTATTTCAAATTCTTGGGCCGATAATA